TCCTTTGTCGATGCTCAAAGGCAGCAAGGGCACCTCAGTTTGGAAACTGAAAGGACAGGCCTCCCACAAGAAATGGGTATTAAACCAAACCTTATGCCAATACAACCGAAGAGCTTGTGAAGTCCATAGGAACTCGCTTCATCTCAAAAACAGAGAAGACTGTTTCAGTTTCTAAAAAGATTCCCTCTGACAGATGGAGAAACTGGCAATGAGCAGAAAGCTCTGCTGTCACTGCTCTCCTTCACAGCAGCACACAGGCGCTTATATCATCCCCAAACAAGCATGCAACGGGTGTGATGAGCAAAGCACCTTACTCACCCCCTTTCGGTGCAGTCTCAACATTTTAATAGTACTGATATGAACTTGTTCTGCACCCTCAAAGCAGGGGAATATCTCTAATTAGCACAGCTAACCTTTCCCCCTCCCATCCCTCCTTCTTTCTTGATTTACTGCCATCTGAATCAGAGTTACGAAAAAAGATTTATGGGTGACTATTGTTACCTGGAAGCCTTAGCTGAAATCAGGCCTCCCATCATAGGACAATACAGGTATTAAGGGTTAACATACCAATAAAAGCCCAGGAGAGCTCAAGCTTCAAAGCTTATTAAGGAAGACGACAGAAGTCTTTGAATCAACGGGCAGAAAAAGCACTCCACATGCCTGGCATTGCTGGAGCCATCGCAGAGCCGGAGGCCAGCTGAACGCACACATCGCACACGGGCTGCCGGGATACAGCTCTCCGTAACGGTACTGCACGCCATTCGAAAGCAAGAATGGCGAATCGCTATCGCGTCGCCCGAGTCACTCACTGAGCCCTGTGCAAACAGCGCCTCGGATTTGAAGTAGGAAAAGTACAGATAAGAGAGCACTGCACTTATCTATTTTTGCAAGTTAGGACTCCTACTCAACCGTTAAAAATAAGAAAAAAAAAATTTCTTTAGAAAACAGGTCAAAATTAATCTGGACAGACTCAAACCATCTGCCCTGACAGTCCTAGTTAACAAGATTAACTTGCTTCCTATTCAGACCGCTTTGAATATCTCAGTCCTAAGTAAAGGAGTTACTATCTGTTTCCCTTAAATTCTCCAGCTAGGAGCTTGAGTCCCAATTCACGGAGCCCAGACAAAGAGCATCAAACTGGAAGTGGTTTTTCTCGTGTCACAAAACTGAGTTTTCAAATGTATGTCCCAGTTGGTTGCTGGGAGCTTTCTAAAATATCTAGAGAACTCCTTTCCTCTAACAACAAATCGCTTCACAGTTTGTCTGCTCGCCAGACACGGGAGGCTCAGCTTTAACTGTTTACTCTGCCTTTTCCTAAATGCAAGAGTAAAACCTCCCTCACGCACGTTTTCTTAAGCAAACATGGGCCTTAAATGCATCTTTGGTGAGCAGAGAGAGACTCAGATGGGATAACAGCCATGATGGTACCTGAGGGGAAAAAACAAGCAACAGAGGGAAAACAGAAACAGATTCTCAGCTGATGAAAGTGACTTGTAGCTTCCTTGAAGTCAGGATACTTCACTGATTTATCCCAGTTAAAGATTTGGCTCGGTTTCTGAAGAGTACTTTAAATAGTAATTCATCTATTCAGCTTTTAGGAATAGGTGTAAGATGTTCACTCAAGCAGGAAAAGCTAAGTAAGTTCACTCTCTGTACACTCGTTAAGATTAAGTAACGTCTACGTAATGCTGTAGATACTGTAAGCAACACTGATTCCATAATATATAAACCAGATGTTAAGCACACAATTCACCTTTCCTAGTTTTATGCTGCTAGATGTAGCTGAAATTGGATTTTAACGAAACACTAGCCACTTTCATGCACGTTAGCGAGCTATATTTTATATCTCGGGAATTGAAATGAATGCTATAAATGCTAGTATCATTTTCACCGCCTGGGGGCCTGCGCTTCTTTTTACCCTTTTGATTTCAGAGAAGGACTTAGCTGTTCCGTATTTTAGACTGTGACAAGTTAGGTTTATAAACTTAAAGCAGGCCAGGGCACTTCAACATCACCAGACCGGTCCAAGGTAACCACCCTATTGAGGGCTGCGCGGGAATTACCGGGGTCTGGCAAGGGTAACAACGTGCACCAGAAAACGTTTCTGGAACAGAATTAGTAACAAGCTTGGCAGTTCAATCCTGCTGTTATAACGACCACCTTGCTGAGGGGCCTATGCACCCTCACAATGCAATATGTAGAAGTATTAATATAACTACTGACCATTTTTCAATCCTTTATGTTGAAGGGGGCAGAAGCTAATCCTGTCTTTCACCCAGATGCCATACTGACCCATGTGAGCCAGAGGTTTTGCAAGCTCCCTACATACCTGCTGGCGTGTTACAGCAAACTACTTTCCACCCCAGGGTCTTTACAAAGCTCCCTGAGGTTTTAGAATGCCTTAAAAATACAAACAACAAATCCACAGGCTAAAATTGCAACTTTTTCGAATGCGAAAAAGAGCTAGCAGCATCTGCTGCAGAAGGTTTTGTCACGGGATTAAAACCGAGCTGGCTCCTGGAAGTGCCTTGCTATTGTCTTCGCAAACGACTCTGGGGCCAAGCAGGAAAAGCGCGGCAAGATTTTTAGGTGAATGGAAATAATGACATTTCAAGTTGGTTTTGTTCCCAGAAGGACAGCTTTCAACGCACGCTGACCTTTAAAACAGGCAGCATGCTCAGAGCTGGCATGTAGACAGTGCACCAGGTTCACTGCATTTGGGGAAGAACCTGCTCTTCTTCAAACAGCCCCAGTACCTGCCAGGAGTTACTTGCATCAAAATAAAACACTTTCAGTCACCTCCCTCTGCTACTTCCCTCTATTCCTCTTCCCCCATCCATTTTTATAGCACACTAAAAATAGTTTTCAGTGTCATTTTATCAGTATGGCAGGGTCTTCTTGCCAGCTCCTAGACTCCTGAACTTAAAAGCAGCTGCTATAGGTAGACACACACCTGCTTGTCCCCTTGCACTGGCTAACATACTGAAGTTCATGCAGAAAACAAATAACGACAATAGATTAATTTAGCATCACAACCCTTATAGATCACCTCTCCTTTAGCTTTCACCAAGTTATTTTGTAACAAAATTGAACCAGACGTACATTTTTTCAGGCCATTTCTGGGGTGATTTTTTCCCCCCATTCTCTCTTTTGCATTTACAAACACTTATATATCCCCTCCCCGCCCCCCCCAAAAAAAAAAACCCAGAGATTTTAAACAGGACTTTTTTTTAATATATGCACTGCTTAGATTTTTTTCCCCTCTGAATTAGTTGCGTTCATCGTACGTTGAACAAAGTTTAATAGTAGAGCATTAAGTGTAGGAGAAGCTCCAAGGCGGACCAGACCGTCAAAAGATGCAATTAATATGAAAAATCTTCCCTTCTTGCTCGTGAAGTTACAAGGTAAGCATGGATGGCAAGAGAACAAATAGGTAAACAGAGCCTCATACAAAACACGCAGACGCAACGCCCTGTTGAGCCACCTCAACCTTCTGCCCATGCAGGCAGGAGCATTTGCTCTCCCCCAATAACAACACACTGCCTGCTGTCTGATAAAGGCCTGTCAAGACACCTGCTTGAAAAAGCAAATAAGCGAACAAACAATAAGCTTCAAAGCTCTTCCTAAGACCAGTTGAATTGCAGCCTGAAATCCCACCTAGATGTAGAGCCGACATCCTTGAGGGAAAGTAGAAGCACCTCAAAGAGAAGAATTAAACTTATCTACAGAGGAAACACATTTCACAATACTTAGATGAAAGATGGTGTGCCAGAGTTGTCCACTGCAAGAACTCCTCCCTTCTTCAAGAGAGCTACAGTGGAGGATGTCCTATCTGCAAACCTCTAACACAATCAATCACCTGAAAGAAACCTTCCACATTCAACTTGAGAACTGCAGATGAGTTGTGGGTGACGTACACTAAACTCCAGATGATGTTGGCTTGGGCTCAGTTTTGCTATTGAAATGACCAGAGCCTTGTGCGCCAACCCTCAGATTTCTATACTTTTCACAAGGCAAGGCTGCTAAGAAAGGTCAGTGATTTTAGCTCAAAACCAGAAACAACTATTGTTTGTCTACAAGAACAGAGCAAAGAGGAACACTTACCGGTTTTCTTTCATCTGCGTTTCAAAAACAAGCTAGAAATAAGCCTGTTCTGCTCCTCCCAAGTTCTGTCTTCAAAAAGGGGTTCAGCTCTGCAGATCCTGAGAAAACAGTGGCTCTTTCTCACCTGCAGCGAGGCACAAGGCAAGCTGGGACACGGCCTTACTCCCAGCAGTTCTCAGTTAGCTCATCAGCACTGGACAACCCCATGCTGAACACAGGCCCTGCAGGCAGCTCCCTACTCAGAGCACTAATTAATATCCCCCATACACACACAGGGGCACATTTCCAGCTGTGTGGCATACTGCTGCTGGAGCATGAGCCAGGATGTAAGATACATAGGTCCTTCATGCACACATGCTATCTATTTCAAAATGAAGCTTGATTCTTCTGTGCTGAGCCTTGTCACCTGAAGCACATAAACATGTTTTCATGCCAGGCTGCCAGAATTTACAAGTGAGGACAAACAGCCAAAGTGCAGGGCAACAAAGTCAGATCGTAAGGTATGCAACAGAGAAGCATCTGGCTTGTACCTGTGTCTTTATTAGGGTGCACATAGCAAGCAAAGGGAAGATTCTGCTAAGGTGGTGTAGGGTTCTCTCACAGGAGTGCCAGCATGTGGTTTTTTTTTTTTTTAAAAACATTCATTGTTGATAAAGCAGAGGGTTGTGAGATCTAGTTCCCACTCAGCCACTATATTCTTCTAGGGGAGGAAGGCTGTGTTGATTCAGGCACATACAATTCAAATACCTGTTCTTTTTCTTTTGCAAAAGCAAAACAAAAAATACACACAATTTGGCCAGACCTGACAAAGAAAGCTCTCCTTCAAAGAAAACGAAATCCAATACTACTCTACAAATAACATACTATCATTACTTTTTTGCGTTGCCTAAATATTTTCCAGAGCAACCACAAGCCCCCAACAGCTGCACTTACCTCATTTCCTTCAGATTCTACTGTTAACAGATAAATACTGAGCACCTGTGGCCATGATTCTCTAATAGATCTAAAAGCAAAGAGGAAGAAGTGGCTTCTGGGTGGTGTCAGATCCAGAATAATCTTTGCTCTTGCATGTTAGTAGATTAAAGACTACTCTTTTTGTAGATCTTTCAAACTATCTTTTAAAATCTGCATCTGCGAGGTTTTTCAGAAGCGCAAGCAAGGACAGCTATGCGTTCCCGAGAGTGCACGCTTGGAAGTGAGACATCTTGACAATATCTCCCTACTGACCTAGTGTCCCACTAAAACATGCTTTCAGCAGATAAATAAGCAGAGCTCTGGAATAAGCAGAGCTCTGGAGTACTGGATAATGTCAAGTTTAAACCTGAAATCAGGACAATTCACTGGTGGTGTCTCAGTTCCTATCACCTTTCAGTCTTCCCTTTCATTCCTTTCCTCTCCCATTCCCTTTCAGTACTTCATAGACCACAGCTTCTGCTAGCGCTACAGACTCCACTTGTCCTCAGGGAGAAGGAAAACAAATGAAGTCATGGCGACAGAGGAGTATTTCTGCAGAATGCTTCCGCAAAACGTTCAGGAGCAGAACATCAACTGTCAAGAGGCAAGATCTTTAATAGGCTTCCAATACATCAAGAAATAACACCGTCCTTTCACTCTCCACTCCTCCAGCCTTGCTAGCCCTTCCTCATGTCCTCCTCTCAACAGCGCAAAACGTTTTTCAAAGGACTTGGCACTTCGGCTGGCTACCTGGAAATGGCAGCATTATACACGGATAGAAAACTGTTCGCATCCTGGAGCCATTCAAGAGAGACTTCAAGAGGCACAAGGCTTTTGTTACAGCCTGTTATTGCCCACTAACTTGAACTTGGCTCTTCCAAACACCAGGCTTGTCTTCACTTGCAATTTACACTAGATCTGTATCTATGCAGCCAGCAAACAAAATAAAGAAGGGCTAACACTGGTCTAGTTTAAGCTCCGTCATAACTCCTGTGCTCTAAATAGAGTTTGTACAAGTGGATCATGTACCGGATCCAGCCAGCATTCCTAGCCTCACATTGGACGTGTCGTGCCCAGTGCAGCACTACCCTGCTACGTAACTGAGATGTGAGCGTGCAGAAAGCCAGCCTTACAGCTTGCTCTCAGTTCGAAAGGTGGTTGCTGCCTGCTTGGGGAAACCAGCAGGAGAGCCGCACTCCCACCACAGAGTGGGCAAAGAGCTGCTGCCTCTTACGGAGACAGGCACACGAGCAGCTCCAGCTCCAACGCCGCTTGCTCTGGCATGAGCCTGCTACTAGTCTCCTGGGTACAAGCAGCAGCTATACTACACCAGGTTCAGCAAGGCAAGAACAGGCCAGGGATTTCACAGGATTTATTCAAAACAAGAAAAGAAAGAACTTTTTTATTTTACAGACAACATGAAACGCAGCACTACGGAGCAAGACAGGACGGGTGTGCTCCTCACACGTGCACAGAGCCCGCAGAGGGGCCGCTTCCACCATGGCGTCACAGCTGCAATGAGGTACCAACTTCCAGCAAGTGTTAGGCTCCCATTTGTGCCTTTTGAGCAAAAACAAAGATGTTTCCCTTGGGGGATCATTTTCCCCAGAACGTATCAGAAATAAAGAACCTGCTGTACCAAGCAGAGCATTGTACTGGAAAAGGGAATGTTCACATAAATAAATTTTAAATGGTTTTAAAAAAGTAAAAAGTTTAAAAATATCTTGCATGAATCACTAAATTGTGAATCGTCTCCCCTTTCATTTGCCAAAGCCACCAGCATGATTTCAGAATTCTTAAAATTTGAAAGGAAGTTGCCATGGTTGTTCTGTTTATAAAATCAAGTATTTTGGACTAAGAGTTTAGCTTATCAGTACCCAGCCTTGACAGTGTTTCCATAAGTTGGCTCTTCTCCAAGGAGCTCCAGGACTATGGAATCAAGTTTTTAAACCTTTTTTTTGCTGCTTTTAAATGGATCAGGTTTTCAGCTGTTACAACTCCGTCTGCTTCAAAGGAATTACATCAACATTTGATCCAGACTTGTGTGACCTCTGCTTAGAAAGCATCTCCTGTGTTTCCTGTACACCCTCATCAGTTGAGCTGGTGACATCCACCCGCTGCATGGGCCTGGCTCCACAAGGAGTAAGCCTACAGCAGTGGCTCACACACATACCGAGTGGACATGCCGCAACGCATTACACAGCCTTAAAGTTCAAAGGCGGTATGCAACAGAAGGCCTAAGAGCAGGTGTTACAATACTGAAGAGCTGTCAAAAAACACCAGTGTTTAGACCCAACAGATTTGACAACCCTGATTCAAAAAGTGCTCTGACAGTCAAAAGTCAAGAAAAATGCCTAAACACACCCCAGACCAATTCGTTAACAATGTACATTTCGGAAGCCGGGCAAAGTCACTTTCCCGTGAGTATAGATGTCCTTGTCTGTCCCCTGGTTTATATGCTTCACCAAGTTTTTCTCGAACAACAGGGGGTGGTAAGCCCCCATGGTGCAGGCACGGTCGTGGAACTTCTGGTAATAGTGGCAAACGTCCGTCTGCCGCTTGGAGGGGAGAAACTCATACACGTGCACTTCGTCACAAAGGGTCATCATGATCACAATGCCTATGGAGGAAAGGAAGACAGACATCCCCAGTTAAAAATCACAGAACTAGTGAAACACCTAGGTGAGACAAGACCGCTAAGCAAGAAGCATCCAAGTCTGATGGGATGGGTTTCCTTTCTGAAAGTTCAGACCAAGAGGAAGAAAATAAGTCCAATGGGGCTATTTTCTGAACCCCCTCTTGCAAAGCATATGATCAACCTGACTAAAGCAGGTAGTTTAGGGTGACGGCCACACCTAAAGTCCAGCGTTTAAGACTGCTGCCATTCTCTAGGACCTTCACAGAGACCTGAGCGTCTGCCAACTGTGTGCTACAATTAGCTGATGCAAATTGCCCAGCTCAAACCTGCTTGGGCAAGCAGAGATAAGACCTTCACCTTTTCACATTTGTCTCTAGTTAAGGCAGAGGATATAAAAGTGATGTTGCTTGGAGATGGCTCTTGGTGTGAAGGCACCCAGACACTGAACAGAAAGCTGCTCTTCAAGCTCACGCAGCTTCCCTGCGACAGAGTAGTGCTGCCCTCCTGTGTCTCCTGAGAGGCACACGAACAACCCTAGAGCCCACTCACACCGCTGCTAGGCCAGAATCGCACACAAATGTGGCCAGAAAGTTGACAGAAATAAGCCATATTAAAGCCTACTTAGCCAAAGAAGTGCAAGAAATAGCAAGAACATACTAGGGAAATAGAGCCAATGTATGACATCCCGTAAAATTCATGTACTATCTCAGAGACTTCAGGAACCACGGTCAGAGGAACACTAAATTCACAAGACATTAGAAGAATCCATTTGAGAACCCACTTGTTAAACTAAGGTGCGTTTTAAAAAACATTTTCATCCACTTTTTCAAGTGACAATTTTCCTCTCCTCCGAGCCGTCCAAGAAACCCAGAGTTGCAAACCGGAACTCATTTTTGCTCCTTTTTGCCTGTTGAGGTCACTTGTTAGAACGAGGGCGTAACTTGACCCAAAGTTAGGTCATGAAGGAATTCGTTGTCAGAACTGGGCAGAGCCCTGCCTTCCAGCCCCTACTTCAGTTCACAGTGACCTTGCTCCTGAAGTCAGTGACTGTACTGTTATGCTGTTGTCTTGTGCACATCCAAATAATGATGTAATAGGTGGCAGGCAAGAGCAAAGAAGAAAACCAGAAGTTTGGTTGGCAGACATAAGAAGTTTCTCTGTTTACACACACATCCACGCGTGCCTCTGCTCCCCTTCTGCGCTTTCATTTCAGATACGCGTTGGTCCTGAAAAGCTCACCCCTTTTCATTTAGCTGATGATGTGATTTGCCCTCCAATAGGAAGGAAAAGCTTGGCAACAGCAGAACGTAAAATGAGCCTCTTCCCGGAGAGGCTGGATTTAGCACACTGAGAAACAAGATTAACATGCTGAGTAAGGGGGAATATCACTGACCTTTTCAGGGTGACTCTTCAGTCTGACCATCCCAACCCGCCACTAAGTCTTTAATTATATACACAGCAGGTAAACACTTAGATTTCATCTGCAGCAGACAAGTTTATTTGTTCGACAAGATCTGAGCCCACAAGAGCCACATCCTTCACCTCAGCATCTCATGCAAACTGCTCTGGCTGTAGAAGCTAAAAATGCTAGAAAACATCTTGAGGTTGCAATCTGTTCTCCTGCTTCCACCATGGCCCTCTTTATAACTGCTGTTTCAGAGGGGTGCAGCAAACTGCTTATTTTAACACAACCGAGCTGCTACTTTTCACACAGGAAGCTTAATTTCTAGCATAGGACAAACACTGTGAAAGCAACTCTGATAAGCTGTTCGGCTTCAGCAGCATAAACCCACAGTTGTCTTTAAAAGAGGCCTGCTGAAGAGTTCCTGCAAACCGAACAAGTCGCCGAGAGGGTTATTATCTTACCAAGCATTCCTGAAGAAGGTGGATTAGGCTGAATATGCTCCAGGGAATTCTCCTGCAGGATATCCCAGAGCTGCCACTGCATTTTTGGATTCAGGATATAAAAGGGCTGCTCTGGATGTTTAATCCGATACAGCTTGTAGTTTTCAAAGAATTTGTAGTCTGGCTTTCTGTACCACTGGAAAACAGAAATAAAAAGTCAGAGCCTCTTATTTCCAGCACGCGCTTTCCCATAATCAACGTTAAACAAGATTGCTTAAGATGACTTAACCTGCTGCTGCTTAGGGGAAAAGGTCCTGCTGTGTGTTATACGCATACACACACTCACGCTTCCCCTCCACCCCATACCTGCTCTTCAGATTAGCAAGGTGACTTGCCTTGGCAAAGAGAGCAAGATGAGCCAAACCTCCTCTCTTCAGCAGTGAAGGACCATTAAATGACATTAGCCTCCTGTGTAACTTCATCCTACAACCCCAGTTTTTGTTTTAAATATCAGCCACATGTCCTGCAGCTGGTTCCTCTCCAGCTGGAGTCCCACAGTTGCATCAACACAACTGTGTGCGACTCTGCTACGAACCAGGTCAAGCGATGGATCAGTCTTAAAAATAAATCAAAAAACCCTGGACATAAAGATTGAGCCGTAACAGAGCCCTGATCAGGTTCACAGCGCAGCCACAGACAGGGTAGCAAACCGCAGCGAGACGCTAGGACAGGCAGCAGGAAGACACCTGAAAGACTGGAAAACATACCCCCACCGCAAAAAAACAGAAGAAAAACAAACAGAACCCACCACTCACCCACACGCATGCTCACTACAGATGATCTTGAGCAGTCTGCCTTGCATATTACCAGACCCTTTCCCCCAGCGCTCTCGCACTACCGAGCGTCCTATTTGGGAGGCCGGTGTTTTCAGCACAGCCTTATAAAACAGGCTGAGCTGATTTGCATCTCAACACTTTCACTTTCAGTAAAAACACTAAAGAAGGGTTTATGCTTTCTTGAAGTCCTCTAGAGATTTTTTTTCCCCCCTCTGCTAAAAATACCCCATCCTCATCCAACTGGCTCTTAAACATGCTGTACGCACACCCTGTGCTCTCCTGGAGACGTGGAACTAGGCACAGGGACAAACACTGGTGCGAGACGCAGAAGTGGCAGTCCAGGGAAAGGAACGGCAGAGACCTCCGGGTCACGGGAAGAGCCTACAACAAAAGCAGGGATGGGGCTATTCGCTCCTAGCTGCGTGCGCCCTGCGTTAGCCTCCGCAGCGATTCACTTCCCAACTAACACCCGTTTGCACTCAGGAGGCAAAGGGAATTCTAGAGGGATTATGACACCCACTAGTGAAAATCTAGCTGACAGAGAGGAGTCCCGTTTACTAAGATCTTAAGAGGGTTTCCTAAGCCTTTCATAATGCATCAAGCGTAATCTCATGCCTGACTGGTGCCTTTAAATATCCAAGCATCTACTGTCAACAAATCTTAGAGCAACAGCCAGAAAGAGGAGCTCAGCCTTCCTCGGTGATTTGGCAACGGCCGCAGCCAGCAGCGATCCCCTTACAGCGGCGCGTCAGCCTGGGAAAGCCAAGGTGGTGCTCCCCTGTCTTTGGCCTCAGCTCCTTTCAAAGTGATCTGGAGAGGGTGTTTCAGTGAGGTACCCTCATGCACGGGCTATTTGCAGAAGTACATATGGAGATAGCCACGGTAGTGAGGAAGTAAACAAGGACGGCTGCAACATGAGTGCCTGCGCATGTCAGGAGGAAGCGAGTTAACAGATGCACTTCAAAGCATTTGAATCCAATTCTGTTAGAGCGAACGCAGCCTTACCTCATGAATATCTGCATGATACGGGGCCGGATCCCAGACAATTAAGATCCCAGTGTTATATAGCGCATCTGTCAGGAACTGCTGCTCCTCAACAGTTACCAGCTTGAACAACAACAAACACAACACATAAATATTTGGTCTGCTGCCGAATAAGCAGGCAGTCAAGCAGCAGAACAGCCATGAACGCAGCTGCAGCCCCCCCAGCGCTGGCTGTTGAGCTTGCCCCACCACGTTCATGCAAGGACACAATTCCCGGGCATGTCGTTCCAACACTTACGCCAGTCCTATCTAGGAACAACAGATTTAGCAGAGAGTCACATGAAAAATTGCCGTCACGCTTTACAAGAAGGTTTTCCTCTATCTGTCTTTACTAGAAAGCAAGGACAGGACCCACATAGTGGCTCGGCTTGTACAATTAATTCAATTTCTAGAACTAGCAGAAGTGAATAGGAATGTAACTGCTGCCAACCAGGCTTTGGGATAGTCCAGTACTAGCCTAATGCAATCATACTATGTTTCTTCTCCATTAATTTTAATGAGAATCCTGCTTATGTGGCACTACTGGCTGCTTACGGCGTGATGCCACCACCCCACGGCGTGTGCGCGCTGGGGGGAAGACGACAGAGCATGAAGAGCTACATTTAACTAAGAAAAAAAATGTATCATGGATAGGAGACATTTAAACACAGCCAGCTCTAGAGTCACGCTCAACTTCACCTCAAGCGTACATGGCGCTCATTCAAAAAAGTTTTGCCCACAGCTAACATCTCTTACTGTGCCATCCTGCGAGACCACCAGCGTGGGAGACGGGATGCCACGGCCCCTGCCGCGTGCATCGCGCACACTGAGCTCCCCAAAGCAAGTGGGATTTGAACCCTGCGAGGGTGGCGGTGGGGAAGAAGGCACCATAACAGCAAAGCACGCTGGTTAGCCAAAGCGGCAGCGGGTGGAAACCGCTCCACCAGGTCCGGAGTGCAATAAGCTTTCCCAGATAAACAGAATAAGGTATTTCCAGAAGAAGGGGGAAAAACAAAAAAAAGTCATCCTCTATGCATTAGATACCTGCTGGACACAACTGGCACGGCTCTTTACACCCCTGACTAAGTCAGGTTTGCAGCAAAAAGTAAACGCAGTCAGAATCAAATGAGACAGGGACTGATCGTCTGTCATCCCTTCCCATAAGCACACAGATGCAGCTTGTAAACATCTGCTTAAGAGAAGTACTGTCATTAAAAAAAAAAAAAAAAACCAACTCCTACTTGTCCTGCTTTTCTCCTAGGATCTAATTAAGAGCTAGGCAATTTATCCCTAAGTACCCAGGGTGCCTCTGGCAACCAACTGTTTTTCTGCTTGTCCCCGTTACCCACAGCGCAAGTGCAATCTGGCCAGCCCAGATGTGCATTACTCCACAAGCACAAAGGGCTGCCTTGCATCTGCTCTTAATTCCAAAGGATTAGCCTTGACCATGGGTACCGCATGGCTTCATTTCCTTCTAGCAGTTAAAATATCTAGGTCACTTGTTAAAAGCATGCCTCCAAGCTGGAGTTTGCAGGTGTGAATCACACAGTGTGAATTTTTAACTCGGTTCTGCCAATGCTGGAAGCGTAGGCTTACAACAGAGAGAGGTGGGCCAGCTAGCTACCCCTCACCGGGGAAGAGGGGGACAGAGCGCCACGCCAGCACCAAAATAGGGCAAGCATCATCAGTATTCCCCCCACCCCCCTTCCCTTGTTTCTATTTAAAGGCTAAAAAGTCTTTCAGGAACTTTTCCTGGAAAAAAAGATGACTGATGGGAAAGAAGAATTCAAGAGAGATGAAGCATCAGAGATCAAAGAAGGGAAAGTTTATTTGGAAAGGAAAGGCGGACCAAGTACGAGCACACGAGTTAGCAGAGGTGTACGTGCCTCTGAGAAGCTATCACAGCAGAGGCACAAGAAGTGGGGTGGGAGCATCTCCGCAGCCGTAAGGCCACTGCCATTGCCTTCCCAGCACTGGTTCTTTGTCACATCAGTTAGTTGCCTATCAATCAATAGCTTAAGCAATTTACTCAAGGGATCTGGCTCGCTGGTTATCTTTAGTGCCTATTTGTTCTGCTCACTAGAGTGACTGAGTCTCACCAAGTAGTTAAATGTCATTCACATTGCTACCCCACTTACTTGTCTTTCCCAGCTGTTCTGATTAGTTAACTAATTCATTGATTTCCTGGTTAGATCCGTTATTCAGACTATTCGCTCTTTAGCGAATATCTTGCTAATACAGCACCTGCCTTCCCTATATGTTTACTGCCCATTTCAAAACGTGTTCCTTCACTCTGGCTCCTGCAGTCACCGGCCCGTAAGCCAAACGTGGGCCCCCTTTCCCATCGCTGTCTCGCTTCGTTCTGCTGGCACGTTATCTCCTTCCTCTTCCTCCCTACAGCGCCAGGAACAGTAAACGCTGCCAAAGTATAGGAGCCAACGTAAGAGCAGCCAACCCATAGTCCCATCTTTGCTTCCAGTGACCACTTCCAACGCAAGAAAAGCCAACCCCAAAACAAGAACAAGTTACACAAGTACTAAATACAGCCTGTCTTGCCGTGGTACCGGCTTCAGAACTCCCCATCGCCTTTGGCAGTGACCCCAGCTGGGAACTCCTGCTAGCCTACACCCCTCCTTCCTCAATGCAAGCTGTCCGCCAGCTCCTTTTGAAGGCTCTGCCCCATGTTCTCACCAGGGATGCCTACAGCAGCCCTCTGCAGCAAGGCTGAAGACAAAATAAAGTCAGGTCACGCCAATAACAAGGATGTGGCTGATTAAGATGTTGCTGTGAATAGAACTGCACCGAAATATGCAGTGTGCAAATAAAAGCACAGAATAAAAACAAATCCTCCATCCGGTTACCCTGGGAGACAACAGGGACTATGATGAGAGCAAGCCCCAGTTCTGTGAAACTCTGAGTTCTGCTTAGAAACTCCAGAAGAGCAACTCCTGCCTTATTCTCATAGAGCGATTTTTGCCCTGTGTGGCAGCTAGGTTCAACATTGCACTTGGACATAGCTTTAGCCTCGAAGACCGGCAACAGTTTTGCTCTCCCTCTTCTAACCGCAGTTTTCTAAGCTGGCACCTCCATTTTGAGGAGATGATGGCAGCTGAAAAATGTCACCCGTGGCTGCAGGCTGATCTGCATGGAGAACAGATGCACTGTAACTACGTGGCTATAATTACACTTGAACTCCTCAAGTTCATTCTCAATCCAAAATAAGAGCGTTCACATAGTGAGTTATTCCTG